CAACTGCTTTTTATTAGATAAATTTCAGTAGCTTTTTTAAAAAATAATGGATTATTATTAATTATTTTTTACATGAGCTTTATATTCTTTTCAGGTATGAATCCTCCACTTGAAGACTAAGTTTAGTAAAAAGTTTATTTTTTACAAAATGATAAAATGGGTACATTCCATACTTTGAAATCCAACTAATGTCTCATTGTGTAACTTGAAGTGAATCGGTGTTATTCTAAAGGGCTAAAATTAATCCTTGGTTCAAGCTTATCAACAATAAAATTTATATTAGTCCATATTTTGAAATAAACATAAGAAATCTGTGCAACGATCAAGAATACGGTTTTAAATGAAATTTTAGACTCAATTTTAAATGAAAAAATCATAAAATAGTTTGTCATTATATCGAAATAAAAATCTTCATTAAGTTATTGTACTTAACAACAACTTCTTATACTACTGAACGTATTGCACTAGTTAGTTAACATATAATAAGCAGTATCACCATGGTTTCTGTGAGTAGTCAGTTGATTCATTTCAGCACTATCAAGAATGAACTAGGCTAGTGAATTTTTGTTGAATATTTGTTAAACTACTCTATAATATGAAATTCAATTTTGAATAGACAGACAAAGAAACATACAGTTATAATGGACTCACACTATAAATGTATATATTACTCAAAAAAGTCATTTGAATATAATCAAAGTAACGAAAGATTTGATAATGAATATAAACATCTAATCAACATCTCTTATGCAATAAAGTAATTTGCAAACCAAATGAAAATATTTATAAAGAACAGCTATTCGTATTAGATCAATTTGAATCTTTAATTTTTAAAACGAGAAATTTCATGTCATTTTGTTATCAAAGTACTTGGACAGTGTACCAAATAAACATATAAAAGGCGGCCTGCTTGAGCATCTTGGCTACCTGTTCCTGCCATCTAGATATTTCAACAAGGTATCTACTTTTGTTTTTGTTTGTTTTATTATATCTTTATGTTTATTAATCACATGACCTATTCTGCTGCGTTTCTGAAAAGTGTACAACCTTTCGTTGTCAAAGTTACAAAAAACTCAATAAGAGACAATGTGGTTGCTGGCAATATACAACGAAAAGAATGCACATTATTCAGATGTTTATTTACTGAACTGCTAATATCTAACTGGCGATCACACAATATTTATCGCCAGGACCGACCAAAAAAAAAAAAAGAAACGGAAACTTCTTGAAATACTTTACGCTGAGAATTCTATATTGTACAAAAAATATAATATTGAATAAAGCTGATAATAATAACAATAATAATAATAACTTAAACATCAACTTTGAAAATAGTAATATCAAAACACCTTAACACGCTTCAATTAAACTGTGCATAAACATTCAATGGTCGACATACTTTAAACATTACCATTGTGATAGTTGTTGAAAATAATTTTTCATTTCAAGCCTTTTTGTTACGCAATATATATATACCTAGTTGGTTTGTGTGTAACTAGTTGATTTCTGTGTAAGGAGACAGGTTACAATTTAAAATCCCAATTCCGTTCTTACTGAACTATGTAGTTAACTAAGAATGTAACCAATACGTGATGTATATAGGCGTTAAATATTTGTAGTTCTGTTTAACTACTAATATTCATTATTCACTATGACATGATCTACCAGTGTATCGAGAAACATTTTGATGAGGAAAAAATAATAAACAAAGATGTATGGTGGCTAGTAGAGGAATCTAAGACGCGCGTTTCGTCCTATCTGAAACTCGTCAACTGGATGTGCCTGCATCTCAGAGTTGATGTTGACTCCAAGACTCAAACCCTGAACCGTTCGCACCAAACGCCATCGAGTTATTCACTTAGCCACTTGGTTCTGATAGCCACTTGCTTGTGTAATTACTGTTATTGAATTTATATCACATAAATAATCATAACACGAACGAAATCAAAGTTCACAAATGCAACTCCCTTAGATATCTGAACGACAAGCCGTAGGTTGAACTGACTATTATGGAATATTTAAAAGCAACAGAAATTCACATCACAAATTTTTTTTTAAAACCAAGAACAGCAAGGGCTTATCACATATATCTGAGTAGCTTGTCATCATAGTTATAACCTTATAATTATAAAATATGAATCACTAAATAGTAATCAGATAACTTACTCTTGTAGCTTAGAATACAGTACACTAAATGAAATGTGTTGCATTCACACATTTCTTATCACTACTTTATTTAAATATTAAATACATTGTTTGCCTATGTTTATCTCATTACACATAGTATTACATCATTGTTTAAAATCAAAAAAATCGTTTTGATTATCCATACAAATTATACTGAATAAATCAATATAAAACTATTTACAAACATAACAAACAACAAATATAAACACTTTTCTCAAGTATCTTTATTTATAAACTAATAGTAATGTACACAGTTCACTATTAATTATTGATTTCTATCAGTATTGATTTTTTAATCCAACTGAGAAAAATGTACATGTAAAATAATAACTAACTAACTAACTTGTTTGTTACTATATGACTTTAACTCAATGAAATTTATCAAGAATGTTCTAACGATGAATAGACTTTTTTTCAATTTGTAAAGAATAATCAATAAATACATCATCATAAATAATTATCATTGAAGTTATGAGAATATAAATGGGGATGTTAGTTTGGTATTTATTTTTATTTGTTTCAATCGACTCATGATATTAATCAGTGAAATTTCTGAAAAGTCTCCACAAAACCCCTTCTGATAATAATCATCTGCTCACTAGTGACTGACTTCAAGAGAATCTCCTGGAGTTCTACTGGGAAGCCGTTACCAGTAGAGTTCAACTAAGTCTGTTGTGAGATATCAACTCACTGAAGACAACGGTGTATGGTGGCGCAATTTCGTGGATTGGTTGAAGTTAGGCATTAACACCGATGGATGCCGGCTCAGTGGTCTAGTTGGTTAAGCGCTCGCGTGCGAGACTGATAGGTCCCGGGTTCGAATCTTGTGAGGCGGGATCGTGGATGAGCGCTGCTGAGGAGTCCCATACTAGGCTGAAACCGCCGTCCAGTGTTTCCATGTTTTCCATGGTGGTCTATCTTCAATTGACTCATGATTTCAATCAGTGTAATTCATTTAGTTAACTAAACTCTTGGAAGTATTATAACAATAGATGATTTACAAAATAGTCATGGATAGCTAACTAAATACTTAGGACTTAATAATGAATAGAATGTACAAACAGGAAAAACGGTTTCGAAATGTGATATATTGTGTTTATCTGATCAGAAATATATGAATATGACAGAATAAAATATGAACGGGAGGAAATGAATACGAGAATTAATGATATTTAAAACAAATACAGACGAAAATGATAAATAAAAGATATGGAAAACTCTTTAGCGATAAACGATAATTACACTACCCCAATCACTTCTGCACTATTTCACCTATTTTTTTCAAATCAAAAAGTTGGGTGATTTCACTAGTCAACTCAATTTGAAACAAAACTTAATACAATTATACTATACTGACATATTTTAATTTGGTCGCTGCAGATGAATATATCTATATGTAATCCGATGTGTATAACGCTGATTTATTCATAGTGAAACTTAAAACTACTATGTCATAGATAACATGTCAGTCGCAGTATTAAAGCCATATTGATAGTAAAATAAAGATGTAAAAAGTGACTGGTAATGAAAGAACGTATAAAATAAATCATTTACTAAGTTGTTAACCGTTAGACTGTAGTGGTTAAAAGAGAAGTTCAAAATTCTAAATTCAATTATTCTATAATGAAGTTTGATCCTCATATTTTATGTATTTGAAATTATTTGATGTTTTATTATGAATACATCAATGAATATGTACACACTTAATAATACTGAGTTATAGATGGTGTGCCATCTAGTACAAAATCAGTTGCTATTTGCAGAAAAATATTTTGAACGTTTGGAACCAAAATTGATATTTACTTTTACAAATTTAAACTGAAGTTTTATGGTGCTCGTAATACCCATGAAAATTGTTGGACTGAGAAGTACTAAGTCGAATGCTTTCAGAAATAACCGAACAATTTTTATTTACATAATCTAATCTGTATATTTAGATGTTTGTATCATACTATTGTGATTTCTTAAATAAGACAACCTAACGTTAAACAAAGTGCTGACACATCTTGGTTTTAAAATACACTACACTGATAATTGAAAAGTTGATTTCCTCCGCTTATACAAACCAAAATGTGTGAGCACCCTTTTTAACGTTAGGTTGTCTTATGTATATATTACTACAATAGCCTTCTGCAAATATATTATATTTACTTAACAATAATGGAAGTATATCTGTCATCACTAGGAAAATAAGAAACTAGGTACTTGTTTACTTACAATGTAATTTCCTTACAGTCATTAAACTTACTTGAACTGAAACGTGGTTTGATATGTCCAAGTTATTTCATAATTAAAAACATTTTCTAAAAGATTTCAAAATCATAGTATTAAGGAAATAAACTCAACATTATTCAGAGTAGTTGTGACATAAAAACCTCCTAAGGTAATCGATAAGAAGCTGTAAATTTATATTTTCATCTAGTGTAACATTATATCTTATCAAATATTGTTAAGTACCTTGATGAAATATTATATATAAGTAAACTTCTATGTGTGTTAATTTGACTTATGAAAGTAAAATTGAAGATTTTTTAAGTTTGAAACCAAGTTGAAATCAAAATATTCTTTCAAAATATGCCTTATGTATTTCAGGTGATAGTAGTGTCTAAGAGTAGTGATTAAATTTCATACATGAACTGTTTATTGTGAACATCACTAATAGTTTTTTTAAAGATGACTCTAGTTTACGTTTACTTTTTGTCTGATGAAGCGTCTAGAAAGGAGCAAGTTCAAAATGCCTGAGCAAGTTCAAAATTAGATAGAAATTGGTTATTAGACTGAAAATAATTATGTATAATGCAATGTAAACTTACTTTTAATTCACTTCGACATTTCTCTGAATCAGTTACATTTGGTATATCATTTTTATTTTGTGTTAAACCAGTACTTTCCACCTTTTCAGAAGGTTTGGCAGAATTTCGACGATTATGATGCTTTCCAGTGTTACCTGACCCACTGAGTATAGCTTCACTTTTTTCTCTAACATTTCTATGACCTTTACGTCTTGAACGTGGTAGAGATTTTTCATTCAGAAATAAATTCCCAGGCATATAAAATTCTTTATTCTCTGAACTTCGTATCTTGTAATGCGGTTGAGAATTTCTTGGAATAGTCCAATAATCAAAAGGACCATTGTTACAACCTCCTATTCCTTCACGGCTACCATTAACATTACTATGGAATTCATTTGCATGTGAATGCTCACGTCTACTTGGATAATAACCATGATTATATGTTTGTATATTTCTTGGTAATGGAGGACGTGGTGAGACAGCTAGTACATAGTCTTTTGATTTATTTGGCTTTAACACTTTCCAGTTTGCATTGTTCAATGTTGTATGACTTTTACTAGATCTTTTATTTAATGTATCATTGAGTTGATTACGTTTTCCCAAGGTTACATTAATTTGTGATCTAGAATAAGGTTCATAATATATTGATTCATCCGTTATATCAAGTTCATTAATTGATTGATCTTCACAATTAATATCATCATCCATATCATCAATCACTTCATCATTGTCAACATAATTATTCATATGTTTTTGATGTCTTGTTGTATTATTAGAATTATTGTTATGTGAATTATCAGTATGATATATATGTATTATACCATTAGGTGTTGTTGTAATTTTTTTTGTTAACACTTTTGTTGTATTCATTGTTTGTTCAGATTCTATACTATGTGAATCTAATTCATGTACTGTACTTAAATCATGATGTAATTCTGTATAATCATCAACATCATCATTATTATCTACTTCATAATTATCATTACCATTAATATGATTGTCAATAATATGATTACCATTTTGACAAATTTTATGGCCTATAAGATTCATCTCATTAACATAATCATCTTCATTGGATCGTTCAGTTTTGAAAGAATTTTTTCCAATTAAAAATGTAGCTTCATTCAATAACATAGTTGGTTCATTTTCATTCATATTAATTACTAATTAATTGACCAGTAAACAAAAGTAGCGTGATTCTTTTATTTCTTTTATAAACAATGATTCTAATAGAATTTTAATACATTAAACCTTTTATTTGAAATATTAGTAAATATGATAATAATGACAATAACACCAATAATTAAAGAATCTTAAATGATAAAATGTGTCATCACTATTTCTTTTCAGTAGTGAATGATAAAAAAAAATAGAAAAAAAAATCTATTATTATTCTTTATTAAATAATCACTTTTATAAGAACGTATTTACTTGAACTTTTGCGTAGGCTTTATTAAAACTATTCTAAACAAAATAATAATTCATCATTAATATTATTAGCACATTTAAATAACCAATCAAAATTGTCAGACCTTGTCAAGTAAGTGAAATCGTATTTGATTGGTTAATTTCCAATAATATCTTACACATATTTATGAATCAAGAATATTTTAGTGTAGTACTATATTATTGTTTTAAGTTGTGTTGAATTTTTATTTATTTATGCATATGTATTATCATAATTACATTCATAAACAAGCAATATATGCAAGCATTTATCTGTACTAAAATAATAGTGATTATGTATACTATAAAAAATGAATTGGATTGAGCAATAGAGAAGAATCTTTTATATGAAGTTTAGAGTAATAAAAAAGAAATACTTACTTACTTACGCCTGTTACTCACAATGGGGCATAAGCCACCGACCAGCATTCTCCAACCCACTCTGTCCTGGGCCTTCTTTTCTAGTTCCATCCAATTCTTGTTCATCTTTCTCATTTCTATCTCCATTTCCCGGCGTAATGTGTTCTTTCATCTTCCTCTCCTCCTTTCGCCTTGAGGATCCCTTGTAACGGCTTGTCTTGTGACACAGTTCAGTGATTTCCTCAATGTGTGTCCTATCCACTTCCAGCGCTTCTTCCTCCACTGGGATCTGGTTTGTTCTTTCCCACACTTGGTTGTTGCTGATAGTGTCTGGTCAACGGATCCGAAGTATTTTGCGTAGACAACTGTTAATAAACACCTGTATTTTCTGGATGATGGCTTTCGTTGTTCTCCAGGTTTCCGCCCCATACATTAGAATTGTCTTAACATTTTTATTGAAATTTCTGACTTTGGTGTTGGTTGACAGAGAGTTGCTTTGAGTTCCAGATGTTCCTCAGTTGTAAATATGCTGCTCTTTCTTTGCCGATCTGCGCCTTCACATCTGCATCAGATCCACCCTGTTCATCAATGATGCTGCCCAAATATGTAAAGATTTTTACATCTTCCAAATCTTCTCCATCAATTGTGATTGGATTGGTGCATTCTGTGTTGTATCGGAGAATCCTGCTTTTCCTTTTGTGTATATTAAGACCTACTGCTGCTACACTGGTCGTCTTCTCCTGCATTTGTTGTTGCGCGTGCGATAGGAGAGCCAGATCATCTATGAAGTCTACATCGCCCAGCTGCACCTTAGCTGTCCACTGTATTCCGTGCTTCCCTTCATGTGTTGACGTTTTCATGATCCAGTCGATCACCAGGAGAAAGAAAAGGGTGAGAGTAAGCAACCCTGCCTGACACCGGTCTTTACTTCGAACGAGTTTGTCAACTGTCCTCCATGCACGATTTTGCAGTGTAATCCATCATAGGAATTCCGTATGGTATTGGCTATCTTCTGAGGCACGCCTTAGTATTGAAGAAACTTCCATAGTGTTGTTCTGTCTACGCTATCAAATGCTTTCTCATGGTCAATGAAGTTGATGTAGGGTGATGAATTCCATTCAATTGATTGTTCCACAATGATGACCAAAAGTCCTTTTTCCAGTCTGTTGATACATGTTCCTCATCCCAAATCTTATTGAAGAGAATGTGGAGTATCCTTGCAGTTACTGCTACGTCTGCTTTCAATGCCTCTGCTGGAATATTGTCTGATCCCGATGCTTTACCGCTCTTGATTTGTCTGATGGCCATTCTGATTTCTTCAACTGTTGGTGGGCCAACATTGATTGGGAGGTCCGTGGGAGCTGCTTAGATATTGTATGGGCTCAGTCGGGTTGGTCAATTTAAGAGTTCCCTAAAGTCCTCTACCCACTTGTTTTGCCGTTCTTCAATGCTGGTGATTACTTTGCCTTCCTTGATTTTCACTGGTCGTTCTGGCTTACGATAACTTCCAGCGAGCTCCTTTGTTGTATCATACAATTCTCATGTTTCCTTCTCTTGCAGCCTTTTCCGCCGTCATTGCTAAATCTTCCACATATTTACGTTTGTCAGTTCTAATGCTGCTCTTCACTTGCTTGTTTACTTCTGTGTATTCAGCTTGCACCTTGGCTTTCTCTGCTCTTGCTCGGCTGATATTGATTGGTGCTTTCTTGTTCCTCCTTTCTTGAATCTTATCCAGTGTATCAACAGTAATCCATTCCTTGTGATGGTGCTTCTTGTGGCCCAGAACCTCATGACATGTTGAAGTGATAACCTCTTTGATCACCTTCCAGTTGCTCTCCACAGTAGTTCCTTCTCCATTGAGTAGATCATGAAAGGCCTGGAACTTGTTGCTGAGGACTATCTTGAATTTGTTGAGTTTGTCAGTATCCCGAAGAAATTCTGCATTTAACTTTTGGGATGTTGTCCGCCCCGTTGTCCAGTGCTTCTAGAGTTTCAATTTCATCTTGGCGACCAGCATGTGATGATCTGATGCTATATCAATTCCTCTCTTGCTTCTCACGTCCTCCATCGTCCTCCTGAACGTTTTGTTGATGCAGCTGTCGTCGATTTGGTTTTGTGTGATGTGATCCGGTGAAGTCCATGTGGTTTTGTGTATGCGTTTATGTGGAAATATAGTGCCACCTGTGACCAGTTTACTGAAGGCACATAGGTTTGCAAATCTCTCACCATTTTCGTTCCTTTCTTCCAGTCCGTGTCGTCCCATGATGTCTTCATATCTAATGTTGTCCGTTCCAACCTTGGCAGTGAAATGTCCCATCAGAATAGTCAGGTCCTTTGTTGGGCACTTCTCGATGATTGACTGCAGCCTATTGTAGAATTGATCTTTAGCGTCTTCATTGTACTCGTTGGTAGGCGCATAGCATTGGATGATGTTCATTGAAATGCCCTATTTCTTTGTTTTGAAGGAGGCTTTGACGACCCTTGGTTCATGAGATTCCCATCCTATAAGTGCATTTTGTTCTTGTTTGGACAGCATCAATGCAACTCCTTGTGTGTGTTGGGCATTTTCTTCATCATGGCCGGAATATAGCAGAAGCTCCCCTGAAGCTAGTCGTTGTTGTCCAATTTTCGTCCAATGTGTTTCACTGATCCCAAGGACCTCTAGGTTGTATCTCCTCATTTCTGTAGCAATTTGGAAGACTCTCCCGGTCTCCCACATTGTACGGACATTCCATGTACCTAAATAAATGGTTGCTCTGGTTGTCAGAAGGGGCATCGGTTTCGTGAATTCCGAAGGAACTCGGCTTTCATCATGAGGCGTCATAACCTTTCCAAATGAAGACCTTCTGACTCACAGGGCAGAGTTTAAAAGGTGGAGTTATATGACACTAAGTGTATTTACAGAATGATTAGAATTTCTACCGCTTAATTGTTCATACATATCGTTTGGTTAATCTTGTAATACTATGTTCATGAGGAGTGATGATGATTTTAAAATTTTCTAATTATTTTGTAGTATAATTTATTTTATTCACATTAATTTATGAACGTATCTGTTGTAAACATCACATGAGAAAGCGAAACAAAACTGACATAATGTATATACTCCATGACGCTTAAATTAGTTCACAGGAATATAGGTATGTAAGATTAAATTCACTCTGCCAAAAAATGTTACGTCAGATATTTCATTTAACAGTATTCCGTTTACATTGAGTTGAAGGCATTCGGTGAATTGGGATTAATTTCACTTATCTCATTCAACTTAGACAATTTTTTGCATAAGAATTCAGTGACTGAAGAGACATAAATGGTGTACTGAAAGTTCGAATTTTATGTACATAAATGATAGGTCCTTTCTTTTTATATAAAATGAGTATTCATCAGTGTAGTGGTGACTTTAACACTTGAACTGAAAACTGCGAATCAGAATTCGGTAAACAATAGATTCAGTTAGCAGGCAATTAAATTTAGGATAAGTGTATTCAGTGTCTGTATAATTTATGTAATATAAGTCATATGTAAACGGATAGTAAGCTGCCAACATGTATATAATTTGAGAAAAAAGAGTTATTATTTGCATGTGATAATCTTTAAGACAAATCAATAAATACATAACTTTGTTTCAAAGAATCTTATTGTTTTCATTTAGATAGTAGATTTGATTTCTTTATAACAAAACATATTAGCACTATGCAGATATATTTTTTAACCTATTCCACTTTTGATAATGATAACTTTTTAAGTTAACTAAAAATTAATTTTAGTAAAATAATAAATCAACGGAAAAAAGCACATTTTATTGTTATCCGAAGGGGTTTTGTGAAGATTGTAGTAATTTCAATAGTTCAGATCATGAATCAATTGAAGCTAGACCACCATGTAAAAACCGACTCAGTGGTTTAGTGGTTAAGCGCAATCGCGCGAGACTGATAGGTCCTGGGTTCGAATCCCGAGAGGTGAGGTTGTGGATGCGCACTGCTGAGGAGTCTCACAATAGGAGGGAATGTCTGTCGGGTGTTACCAGGTTTTCCATGGTGGTCTAGCTTCACTTGACATTTTATTGTTGTTTTTTTGTTTGTAATCTATTAAGAAATGTTCATCGCTAATTATTAAACTATTTAGAAGTTTACTTAATCATATTCACTACTTTAGTTTCGTTTGTAAGTATTATTTATACATTAGAATAGTTTAATGATGAGTGAATGTTTTTTTGATCTGTAAAAATTAAATATTCAATTGTCGACGCCATTAATGACAATGTACAACGTAGTTTTGATGGGTTTAAAATAAGTTATGTATATACATATATCGAATTAATAATTAAAGTAGATTGTTTCCATGTAATTTGTATTAGTTTTATATCCGATTGATAGATGTTCAAGTGTGAATCATTTTTATAATTCCTTCTTAAATAGTATGAATAATCTACACTATTGGTGTACACATAGACTTAGCCATTAAAACGTTTGATGATTTTGGTAGGATATTTGATTTTAAAAATGCATTCTTAACATTTTTGTATGAACTATGTGTGTGGTAAATAGTTAAAGAAACATTAATAAACTTTGAATAGACGATAACAGTCAAAACCGTGAAGTCCATTAAACTGGGTTGGTGACACTGAGACCAATCGATACTAAATCTGTATTACATTGTAAATT